TTAAACATAAAAAGGGAAACCCCGGGATAAATTTTTTTTTGAAAATTAAACACAAATGGTAAAACGAAAATTTTTGGGAACGGAAATGGGGGAATTTCCAAAAAGCATTGCCGAAATTTTAATTTTCCCCATCCCAAAAATTTTTAAATTTTTCCCATACAGTTTTGAAAAAATTTGGAAAGAAAAGGTCAAAATCTAATTCAAGAGGCATACACAGGAATTTCAATATACCAAGCGCCATAGTTGTACCCAGATCGGCAGAAACTATGTTCAACATTTCCCGTTCTATTTCAAACTTTTTGGAAACGCATGCAAATGATAACATCTTAAGTGAAGATCGCCCAAAATATTTTGCTGTGAGAAAAATAATTTTGGCTATTTTGGAGTACTTCTAAACCTATGTCACGGTAGGGCTAGGAAATTCATTCCAGGCGCATGGACATGAAATTGGACTTGAAAAAACGATCGCCCCGGCTGATATTTCTTAGAAAATCAGCATACACATTTCTGTCTATTTGTTTGACATATATTGTTTTTCTTATGCCAGGTACATGGTCAGATAAAAATGCTGTGAATTTCATATAACCTTATTTTAGGTGCATATAGGCCTACAGTCATGTTTTATCCAAATCGAATTCATTTGCAGTTGTAGCCATTGTTTACTGTTTTACGTAAACTTATAAAAAATATATTTTCCCACATCTTTATATTTTTGGTTAAGGTTTTCTAAAATCTTGACATTAAATACCGTTGCATGAAAATAGAAGCCAACATTAAAAATTTAAATTGATTATTTCACAACATAAAAAAGCAATATTTACTTTCAACAGCGAGGACTATTTGAAAATATTAAAGCGATGTTTTAAAGAACAACATAATTATAAATTAATTGTCGGGCTGATTTTTAAAAACTTGTATCTGTTGATTTTTCTGTCTACATAAACATAATTAAAAGGAACATATAATTTCAATTTCATTGTTGAATTAAAAAGAAATTAAATGATACATTACGTAAGTTATAATTTGTAATATCTCATTAGCGATTTAAGCGATTTTAGGCGTGTCCTGCGTCGCCAGTGTCAATTGTCTACAGTATCAAAATTCTCCCCCAAAAAATAGCGACAAAATCAACAATCATGGCGAAACTTGTCAAATTGCAAGGTAAATTATAGTTTTTCATTGCTTTATGAGTATAATTTAGCTTGTAATAATATATAAAATATTAAATTTAACGCCACAATATGATTATGAAAATATCGGTGAGTCCCTGGGTGGAAGGGTAGATAGGTAGGTACAAAGAGAGATAAAAACAAAACAAAAAAGTCTTCAAAGCATCATATTGTTTTCTGAAAACGTTTATCGCACAAATTGTGCTAGGCGTAGAGAAGAAAGTTAATGTAACGAAGACCAAAGATAAAATAGAAGAGCGGCATGCACGGATAGAAGCCTAATGCCCCTCCAAACAACATCTAGTTGAACAGGACAACCGGAATTGCTCCGAGTGAGGCACTGAGCAGAAAAGTGGAAAACGAATACAGTTTATAAGTTTTCAACAAGCGTAATTAGCTTACTTCATGGTTCGATTGAGTAGCATTGTACGTTATTGTTAAAATATGTACGTGTAGTCAGGAAACAAAGTCTGTGTACTCAAATAATAATTTGATATGAAAATTATTGAACACAATTAGGAGGACATTATCTTTAGTTTGATTATACTGAAAAATGACTCGCGAAAATAGGTGAAATTCTCTTGCACCCCAGATTCACTCATTTACTGTTCAAAACGGAATAATGACTGTTTAATGATGTTTAGTTGTATTGTTTTTCAGCTGGTTTAGAGCAGTGTCAACATCACTGTAGTGAACATGGACATTGTGTGAAATGCATGCTTCTACATACAAGTGTCAGTGTATCGTTGGCTGGCAGGGAACTGACTGTTCGCAAGTTGATTTACGTAAGTTCGTATAGTCAGTAACTATGTTAAGCCCTGGATAGGTGGAAAGCCTTTGTAATCAGTAAAGAACAGTCTTACCAGGTTATTATTTTAAATGGTCATCTTGCCCTCTCAAAAACTGAAAATGGAACATTACCAAAAGTGGGATGCTGAACAAATCCATTTAAAACCAATTAAAAAGTATGGATTAGTAGTGGTGGCGACCGGAGTATAAAAATCGCCCGAAACCTAATTTGGCCCTATTGTTACTTATTTTACAATTATCTTCCTTTATTTTCATTGTATTTACTATTAGTGCAAAATTAGAAATGGTTATGTACATTATAAAGGCGTCATGGCGGTTTTGTTTCAGTTTCAAACAATTTTATTTAAGCTCGATTGAAAATATGCTCTGCAAAAAAAGTGTTGCGAGCTATTACATCCCAGCGTTTGTTTATACGCTGTATAATCATATGTCACTCGAAAATCACGACCATTTTTACTGATTTACAGATGCTCTTGAGCAACACTGTCAACACAATGTCATCCATGGACATTGTGTGAAAGACTCTGTTCTATATTACAAGTGCCAGGGGGAAGCAATGGCTAAGCAGGGAACTTTAATAACTAATTTCGAACCAAAGTTTAATACGTAAGTTCTAAAACCAACCAGGTCGGTGTTTTATAAGTTGATGCCGAAACATGCCGTCCGATAACCCTAAATTTAATTGTTCTCAATTTTCCTTTAAAATTATTTTTTCGGAAAATACCTGAAGCGATTCCAATGCTTCGAATTCTTTAATACAGTTACGTTTTAATATTGGTCTTTAAGAAAGATTAAATTGCTGTATTGGGGTAGTAGAAATTGCAAATTAAGCCATTTTTATAGTTGAGTTATTGTCCCTTCGGTACTTTAAAGCTGCATTGCCTCCCAAATTGAGCAAGACATTTCGAAGAAAATCGAAGCATTGAGACAATTTGTACTTAAAAATTTAGAAAAAGTAAAAAAAGATTGAAGATTCAAGTAATTGCTTGAAAATTAGCTGGTTTGCTGCTATAAATACTTAAAAACTGTGCTATATAGATAGTTTCTAATATTGTAAGCATATGAATCGACGCCATATCGACAAAGTGGTTGAGAATTTTGTCATGAAATAAAGTATTATCATTTTTTACCCACATACAATTAACTATTAACTATCTTTTGCATTTTAAAAAAGTATAAGTCTACGAGTAATCAGTGTTTTAGTATTGCTTTATTGTTAGTGTATTTGTCCTTAACAACACTGGGTAAATGATAAAGCATACTAAAGTCACTGATTGATAAAACTTGATAAACATTTGATCGATAAACCTTATTCAATTACTAGGTTATTTGAATAGCCTCGTCATCTTGTCGAAATTTGTTGTTTATTAAAAAGTTTATTCAAAACTCTAAATTAGGACTTAAGTACTCCTAGTTAGGTCCGATTTCAATAACATGGAGTTTAAGGCTGTTAAAATCAGTTTATCTTTCCTGTAGATTCAATCCAATAAATGACTTTAAACATCATATTTTGTGAACATATTCTCAGAGAAAGCCACAATATCCAGGAAATGATTTTTCCGAAATGTTCAAATGTTGGGAGAAAGTGCGCGCACTTATTTATACTACTATGCATTTTATACCACAGAAAAACAGTTTAGAGTCAATTTGTTCAATAAACTTTTTATAATTATTCTATAAAAAAAAAAAAAATAAATAAAAAATAAATAAAGCCATTTTCGTATCATTTACCATTTTCTATTGAAAAAAGCAAAAATCCCCAACGCATTAAAATGACTGACGATGGTAATTTGCTGGCAAGTGAATAGCTTTTCTATTTATTTTAATATTGTTTCTGAAGAAATAATGCTTTAAAAACTTTTAGGCGACGAAAAAATTATTTAAATATGGTTTCCTGTTTATTTTTTCTTTCTGCTCTAAGTGGTTTCCTTCGGTTGAGTTTATTATCAGCGGGAATTTTTAAACTTACGAATTGGAAAATACTAGAATCTTATTGACCATCTGATTTTATCCATTTTACGATATTAAAGGAGAAGGCTTTTAAAAAGCCAAATCCTTTTCTCGATAACTCATGCCCGGCACTTGTAAAATTAATTGGTTTTATTTTGTAATAATACTGTGAGTTTGTTTAAAAATAATCTAAAACTAAAACTAGAATATTCAATTTTCAAATCTCATCATAAATCAAGTTAATGTAGTTAAAATTTTCATGCCTTCCCTTTTTTTTAGGTTATGAAATCGGGGTACATGAATGTATGCCCCATCTTTTTGGGCGACACGAGAAAAATTTCAAAAAACCAAAAAGGGCGCTTCCTTTTTCCTTTTTACGTTTGTCAAGGGTCTAAAAAAAAATTTAAAAGGCATCCCAAAAACTAGCCCGGGCAGAAAATTCCTTTTTAAAATTGGGCGGGGATTTTCCCAATGCCCGGGGATTAAATATTTTTACGATACTGGGTTGGAAAACCTGTTTGAAATTCAAAATTTTGTTTAGTTTAAAATCCCCTTTGGCGATATAACCGACTTTGTAACTGTTGCCCCTGTCGTATCGCAAAATTGAAATAGGTCTGCGAAAGTTAAGTGTGTTGACCCCCAGGCCCCATGGACACAAATTTAAAAGCGATTTATTTTTATGTAATGCGGCCGTTTATTATCCCCTTATAGTTTTAAAAAGAAAAATAAAGAAATTTAAAGGCCCTTTGGGATACGGGAACCCCTTTTCCCTAATCCCAAAACGTTATAATAAAATTTCCCCTTTTCCCAATTTTGGCATGGTTATCCCTTTGAAAAACAAAAACAGATGTCAGTTTAATCAGAATAAAATGGGGGTTTCCCGATCCCCATTTTACCCTTCATATTTGCCTTAAATTTGTTTTTTCTCTTTTGGAATGATCAAATCAAGTTAGAAAATTTTCACAATAAAGCAAAGGAAAAGGGCTTAAGTTTTTCCCAATTTAAATGTACACTTTTGTACCAATGTTTTAACTTTGGGCCTAAAAAAATATAAACGTTTCCCTTATCTAGAGTCGACCCATAACTGTACTTCCTTGCCGCAAAACTGTCATGTAAGTCATAAGTTGTAATATCTCATTAGCGATTAAAGCGCCCAAAATCAACAATGGTGAAATTTGTCAAATTGCAAGGTAAACTTTTGTATTTCATTGCCTTATAAAAAATATGGTTATAAGAAAAAATAATAAAAACATGAAAAGAAATGAAAACAATTTACGGTTTACGTAATGTTTGTAATTTATTATAATAAATAATATAAACAAGTTTGTTCAAGCCCCGAACAAAAGGTTTTTTTCTAAACTGACAGTCATATCCAGTCCCCAGTACCCCATTACTTTTCCCCAGTCTGAATATATTAGTTTTTCTATCCAGCCTAAATTTTGGTATCGTCCATTGACCATTGTGTTTTTGTCTACGGTCACGGAAATGCATGAACCATGTGTACTTAGATGACTGTGCTTTATTTGAAACAACGCACACTTTTTCTTAAGGAGTGTGCGTTATCTGAGACATCGCAATGTGCGTGATTACCAATAATTACTGGCATACAACAGCTTAGGAACATCAAAGAAAAATCGCCGCACCATGCCGTTAAAAATACTTTTATGGATTTGGTTGTCAGTTTTAGAAAAATTTTTTTCTGGGCTTGAACTTGTTTATAGGTCTCAATAATCCTATTTCCTGAATGTAATTATAGAGTGCAAGGAATAACTGTCTGTATAAACATTTTCATGAGTAGATATTCTCGCATGCAATTTTTTCAATGTCAAGTCCCCGAAAAAAACAATATTTGTTTTCATTGAAATAGAGAAGAAAAAATTTGTCATTTACATATATGCACATGTACCATAAAAAATAACAGAAGTTTCGTTGGGGGGATTTAATTTAAGGGAAGCAAAACATAAATTGAATTTTTAATCAATCAGAAATTCTTATTTTTTGTTTATCATGCGATATTAAAACAGTTATAATATATCGAATTCGACTGTTATGTGGAAATATCATGGTTTTGGTGGTATCTCGGGTTTTCCCTACAGGAAATCTTCTCGTCCTCGGTCACTATAATCCATAATAAACATATAATTTATAATCAATAAAGTATTTTTAAACGCCTAATTCGTCTCTTACCAATAATGACAGTAAAATGTAAAAACAACAACAACATCAACAACAACAAAAAACACACGATATTTGTCTATTGTTTGATCACCACTTCTGCAAGCGTCTAGGGGTACTGCTCCAACACTGTATTGAGTTAAATCCGTATCTATTGTGAACGTCGTATCACATAAAAAAGAAAGTATTTCAATGCAATGCAATTTTAAACAATGAGATACAAATTTAGTTCAAATATTTCTTATTTCACTGCAAAGAAAACAAAACAAACAAAGAACGCCAATTATAATATTTAGTCAATGTTTTTTTCTCTTTCATTTACAGTTTCTGTGACTTTAATTGTATTTCTACAGTTTCAACTGTGCACAGCTCCAGGCGGTGGTAAGCATATTTTGAGTAAACCATCATTTGACATCACAAGAAATTGAATGTGAAACTTTTTTAGACATTTTGGAAAGAAAAGACATATACAACATTAATGTTTATTCTTGAACATTTTTATAACAAAACATTAATAACCATTAAAAACCTTACAAGATAAGAAAAACAGCCTTTAAAAGAATATAGACTTTGACATATTGTGACCTGAAAACATTTTACCAGACAAATAATTGGTGCGCATGGTGCACATAAACTATTCTTCGAAGAAAGTTAATGTAAGAATAACAAAGATAATGAAAAAGAGCAGCATTCGTGGATAGAAGCCCCACAGCCCCCTCTCAAGCCCCTCCCTAAAATATCTAGTTGAACAGGACAATCGGAAATGCTTAGAGTTGGGCACCAAGCAGACGAATACAGTTTATAAGTTTTCAATAAGCTAAGCGTATTTTACTTCACGATTCAATTGAGATGCATTGCCATCGTTTAATCATGTTCCTGTAGTCATTAAACAAAGTCTGTGTACTTAAATAATAATTTAGTATGAAAATTATTGACCACAATAAGAAGGACATTATCTTTAGTTTGATTATACTGAAAAATGACTCGCGAAAATAGGTGAAATTCTCTTGTACCCCAGATTCACTCATTTACTGTTCAAAACGGAATAATTACTGTTTAATGATGTTTAGTTGTATTGTTTTTCAGCTGGTTTAGAGCAGTGTCATCATCACTGTAGTGAACATGGACATTGTGTGAGAGTACATGCTTCTACATACAAGTGTCAGTGTAGCGTTGGCTGGCAGGGAACTGACTGTTCGCAAGGAGATTTACGTAAGTTCGTTTTAGAATCATCTCAAAAAAAAAAAAAAAAAAAAAATGAAAGTACCAAAAATGGGAGCTGAATAAATCAATTCAAGAAATTAAAAAAGTTATAGTTAAGAAGTGTTGCGACCGGTACAAATCCGCCGAAACCTAATTTGACTATTATTACTATTTACAAATTACTTTCTTTATTTTTATTGGGTATCAGTGTAAAATAAAAATGTTTCATAGATCATGCCGATTTTTTTTTTAGTTTCAA